TATTGATATTTGTAAATTTAGGCAAACTCCTAAACCAAAATAGTCAATTGCAATGATGAGTGAGTAAGAATAGAAATGTTGACACCTTAAAGGTGAGTCAGAGAGGGTGGAAAGGAAGATACTACTACCAGTACGTGAAAATGCTAAAGATCAAATTAAAAACACTTCAGTTGAGAATGAATAAACATTAGAGACAATAGGAAATAATAATAATACATTCTCTGAGCCAAAAAAAAAAAAAAAAGAAGAAGTATAATACACCTAATGTATCTTGTCTTCAGTTCAGATCTCAATGAGTACTTGTTTTTTTCATGTGTATTATGTAAAATCCTTCTTTTTAGAGGCACCGGTTTAGTAACGAATCAAGGGAAAATAAGTTTAACATTATAAACACTTCCTCTCAGGGACTTTCATTGTTCCGATGGTGTTCCTCTGTAGGGGTTCAACTGCAATTCTGATGGATGTGTTTATCCATACCAAATTTAAAATGATTTTATCTATTAATTGTGCTACGTAATATACCTTTAAATGTGTCCCGACCTGAAAGTGGTAGATTGTATACAGGATTGGCATTGTGGCTCAGTTGGTAGAGCAACTGAGAGGTAATCTGAAGTGCTTTGGTTTTTCTTCAAAAATCAATCTTATATGTTGGTATCTTTACTAAATATATGATAGTATTCAATGAATTGGTGAATTCATATCAACTCTTAAAACATCACAAAAATTTTACAACATCCAATCAGTCCCATAAATATTTCACACACGCACAAAAAAAAACAAAAAAACATAATTTATGATAACAAGAATGAGTCGAAATATGGTGAACTTCATTAAAGGACCACTGAATTTAAGTTATTTTAGAAATATTTCAACCGGTCTTGCATTCATTTTCAAATTAGTGAGGTTAGCAAGCAAGCTTTTAATAGCATCATTATTGGTGACAGGAAGTCAAATGCTAGTAAACAATGGAATTAACAAAAGATTAAAACATGAGGCTCGATAGACTCGATGTAGACAAATTATAAACAAAGCGCTGGAAAGCCAACTCACATATGGATGGAAATTCTATGACAAAAAATATGATATGACCGAAAAAATTTAATAAATTGGCAACATAATTAATGTAATGATAGCATAAGAATACTGCATAGATAGAACGTTGTAATACCATCTCTACTTTTCTATCGATAACTTATGTGATTATTATTACTACAGAATTTGACATGTCTAAAACCATGTTGTACCTGTCAGTATGTTACAATAATGTTATTTAATATATTTTTATGAAAATTGCCTGGAAACTTTTGTGTATCACAACAGTAGTAGTGGAGGAGAGTATGCTTCATTTATTTTTTTATACATCTATTGGCCACAAGTAGTAATTAACTGAGGTATACTTCTGTTTGTGTTGAGTTCATCAAGATTTTAACACTGACAGAGACACTCAAATGTGGTTTTTTTTATATATATAATTTGTTTTGCCAGATATTTAATTTCTTCCCATGGATATGTTTCAAAATACAGTTGATTGATTTTATTTGATTGATTGAATCATATTTCAATCCAACAGTAATCATACTATACAGTATACTAAAAAACTAAAATTGTTTTGATTTTGTAAAAAGAGGCCATTAAAAAAAATATTTCAGACAACACATAGAAGTGGTCACAAAAAGTGGCTGCCAAAAGTGGATGTTTCGGTTTCTCAACCATAGGGAACAGGGGTTAAAATGTTTTCACTTGTGTCCATGGGCTAAGCACTTTACCAACATTTGTATCCTTCTCTAGCCAAGAGTATAAAATAACAACATACAGCTTTGCCAGCACCTTGTATCCATTAGCAAAAAGTATGGTATAAATTCCTATATTATTGTTATTATTATTAATACACACAAATAAAGAATTAAGGATGAAGACAAGGAAGAAATAATATGGGGAAAATATTAATTATTACATCATTGACTTTTGAGAAATAACATAGGACAATATGACATATATTTTTCCCACCTGGGGATTCGAACCTAAGACTTTGATCAGATTACTGTCTCGTTTCTCCATAACTGAATGAGGCCTTATATTGGCACACTGCCTTTGATTTTACATTAAAGGACAGTTCTCAGAATACACGAACCACAGTCTAGTCCTAAATATGAAATAATCTAAGACAAAAATTATGATACAAATTAACACTGACAAATAGCACAAACAAGAACTAAATGTAATAAACTCTTTAAAGAACCCCCTCCCCCTCAAGTATACCTTACATTTGTCTACGTGGAGATTTAAGCATACCAGGAAATGGTCAGACATGTTGATTAATGATGTTTATATAGTTACCCAATTCTTAAATTCCATAATGTAACATCTACCCTACTTTGTACCCTATATATATACAGTACTAAGTGCACGTAATCTATGTAATCAACTTAAATATAATCACTATTAGGGACATAAATTCACGTCCGACAGGGTTTACACAGGGCGCCGAGGATAATTGAGGAGGGTGCTAGCAGAAAAATATATGGGATATTGGATAATTTTTTAACAATGCGACTGTAATATTTTGCTTAAAATAATAAGCTTCAGTAGGAGGGGGTGGTGCTTGAAATTTTTTTTTTGAGGAGCGTAGAGATGCTAACCTATTAATACACCACTGCTCTCAGTTATTGAAAGTAGGTACCTGCTTTTAATACATGTGGATGACTGATTAGCAGCCAAAACATAATGGAATGCTGGAACATTACGGAATGCTACAACATTATGGAATAATCCCCCAGGGAGTTGAGTATGACCACATAATAACATGAAGCAAAAGGAGGCCTTAGCATGATATGCTAAAGACTGTTACACTATAATACATTTTTAAAAATATAAGAACACTTTTTATAATAACACTGAGGCTGAAATCGCTTAAAATATAAGAACAAAATAAGAACAAATTGGGGCTGAGGTAAACTGTCAAATGAGGATTTTATTTTTTCTTTTAGAATAGAAAAACCAACAAATCTTCAGATCTGTACCTTAAAACAGTAGGTGTGAATATGTAATGCCCTCTATAATACAATGCTGTATTATAAATGCTGTACAATAAGTCGGGCAAGTTTAAGTCTAACAAGTAATAATTTTTAGGTTATTCTATTTGGTTTTAAATTCTGGGGGATTTTCTTTAGCTATATAATACTAATAGAAAGCACTTTAATCTTAAACAATGAAGTATAATACAACCTAGATATCAACGTGAATACTAAGTACTTTATTTGTCAAATTTCTGCATGATCTAGATATTCCTCATGCATACAAAAAAGTACAATAACTTCATGAAATCAGGTTAAGTACGAAGAATATTAGGAAAAAATGGGGTACGTCACTGGCCTGCAGTCGCACGTCACATGTTGGAGACATCGTGTCCTCTATCTATACTGCGTAGATAACTGACATGGTGACAAAGACCTGGAGTTAAATGCTTCATTGAAAGGCATGAATAGGGTATGAGAACATAGGAAGTAAGTGAACAACAATAATAGATTTTTATAGTAGAAAATCCTTCAGATATATTGTTGAGAAATCGTTACCAATACACAAAAATGATAATGGATAATACTTAATAGCTATGTAGACAATAACGAATGCCAACAAATTCGAGTACCGTAAATATATTTCCACCCAAGAAAATGAGTTGTCACACATTATAGTTACTGGTCATGGTAGTTGAATTTGAAGTACTACAAAAATAATCACACGTTATAGTTACTGGTCATGGTAGTTGAATTTGAAGTACAAAAATAAAACAAATTTTTATCATAACCTATATATCAATTTTGAATAAAAACTAGGACTGGTTTATTCAAGATTGCAGATCAAACACACTTCGAAAAACATTCTATAGTTTACATGCCACTGTAATGAAAGATTCCAAATAAAAACTAAACTACACACAGAGCCAAATATATCTGTGACAATAGAAGCATGAAGAAGTAAAACATTTTGGGGGGATTTTATTACCATGTGTTTGATTTCAAAAGTATTCAATTTTCATTAAATTTATATTATAAAAAATGTGACATGTATACCTTGATTTCATACACTAACAAATAAGACTGTTGGTACTTACATGTGTAGCAAGGAAAATTTAAAATACAAAATAATATAAAATGTGTTAACTGAATAACTATATGTATAAAATTCCAATTTATCTAATTTTTTTTGTTTTTACCTAAAAAAAACAAAAAAAAAACCACTGAATTGATTTATTTAATTATTTATAATGCAAGTTTAGAAAACTTAAAAATAAAATATTTACAAACTATTTTCAGTTGAGACTTTAGTGTTACACCATAAGGACACTAAAAAATTAGACTGTTGGTACTTACATGTGTAACAATGAAAATTTTAAAAATAAAATAATATAAAATGTGTTAACTAAACAACTATAGATAAAACTTCAATTTATCTATTTTTTTAACCTTTTTTAATTTATAATGCAAGTTTAAAAAACTTAAATAATATATTTACAAACTATTTTCAGTTCAGCCTTTAGTGTTACACCATAAGGTCAATAACCTCTTTTGACACATGTCATCAAGAATTAAGATAATAATTATTTTAAAATATTGCATAGAAAATAATTACTTATTTCTCTCCCCACCCTCGTCCATCCCCAAAGACAAAGGTAAATCTATAAAATGTCCTATTACAGTAAATTAAAGCTGACACAAGAGAAAAAAAAAATCAGGATGATATTCGCTTTCCAATAACTATACATATTCATATAATATTTTATAACAAATAATTGTAATTATAATTATTTGTAACAATACAAAAAATATAATGTTAATTGTGATCTGATATAATAATAAAGTATCAACAATGGAAACCTCAAAAACTCATGAACATGAATTGTTTTGGAACAACCTGACCTACTTGACGGACAACCTTTTCCGACTAGATCCAATATTACGTTCAATCAAACAGTCATCGATAAGCCTTCGTGGCTAGCTTACCACTGTGTCCTTTTTTCCTGAAGTCCTCATCGTTGTTTGTTTTGCACGCCTTATTAGGCCAGACCTTTTTCTCGTCCTTAATATGAATTTCAAGTTTGCTTAACCCAGCTTGGTCAATGTTTACCTCTTCTATCTGAAGTGTCCCTCTTTTAATAGTCTCTCTCTCATAGCCTAGTTTTCCAGCAAAGTTGAAAGTAATTTCATAAGCGAGATAAATAGGTTCTCGCATCTAGAGTCTGATCAATGGGAAAAGTAGTAATCGATTATATAAAGCGAGATGAATATATTCTCGCCTTTGTGGCTGACAAATTGGAAAAGATGGCCTTAGAGGATCGCTAACTAGTTGGTTACAAATCAAATCAATTATCCCTTATTTGCCTTTCAGATTTTATGAGAGGGAAAACTGTTGAATTTTTCACTAAAAATCTGCTTACAGTATTTAAATATTATTTCTTATATTTTGTTAAAATCTAGTTTTTCCCTCTCTAGCTAAAATCCCACACTCTTTCCTTGTTTTTTTATTTTTTTCTTTTATTTTTAAAAATAAATTTCCTATTTTATCAGTGTCTTTGCATCCGTAAGTAAAAATTGCTAAATAAATATTTATATTAGGACTTCTAATCTAGTGGGAGGGACATATGGGCTGACAGTTTTAGCCATTTTAATTTCTTATCTATTTGATATAATAAATGATCAAATAACTTCATTTATCTTCAAGTAAAACTAATAAATTATTATCCTGATGATATAATGATGGAATTTTGGGCTGTATCGTTCTCGTTTCATGGTACTTATAAAATGTTAATTTTATAAATTTAAAGATGTACTGTTCCCTGAAAATAATTTTAAAACAAAATTTGAAATTAACTTGCTTATTTTGCAATAAAATTCAAATTAACTTTCGCATAGAAATTATTAAATTAAAAATGTGTGTACCCTAATTTTTATACTGGATAATAATATAAAATAAAAAAACTACTTCTATAAATTTTCAACTGTAAAATTATGGGTATACATTTTTAAATACACTAATTTCTAAATTCAAGTTGATAATTTTTATTAACTCCAAAATGAACTACTTAAAATATGATCTTAAGATTTTTTATGATTTTCAGTTTTTGTTTTTTGTTTTTTTTTAAACTGAGGTAACATTTGACATATATACTATATCTGGTATGTTTGAACACTCGCACAACACATGGAAAGCATTCGTAATACCAATTAACGATACGTCACAGTGGGATCTTGAAAGTGTTATTCCTCCCCTCGGTTGACTCCGCACGTTAAGAGCCCTCTTGGCAACATGGATAATTATATGTTGACTGGTGATCCATTTTTCCAATTTAGAGTATTACTACTGATCATAAACAAAAATTGTTTTCCTTAAACTAGATAGTAACAAACCTTGAAGTATATAGGAACATCAATCAAATTAAACTGCTTACATCATTATTTTAGAAATATAAGGTAACTCCTCCCACAAACATGTGAATATAATTATTTGTCATGATGATCAGCAGGTGTGCATGTCTTGTAGAGATGGGTTACTTAAGGAAGTTTTGACAGTTACAATAGCTCTTGTTTTCTGTTGGACGTACATTTTCTTCACCTGGCTGGAAAGTGCAGTTCTTGGGACAAAGCTGTCTTTTTGTTCCTTTTATGGTCATTCCTTGATCCACAATATATACTAAGTAAGATTATATCTTATATGTACTGTAATGGCAACTGGTTTTTCATTGAATCTCAGCATTTCAAGTTATATAATATTTAGGGTACGGTAGTATTTTTTTCACCATGTACGTGTAAAATTTAGCACTAGCACTACCATACCCCTTTCACTCGGTGGAACTGACCAATGAAATTTTGTTTTTACCTAATTTAAATGAGGTATAGTAAAAAAAAAAATACAAGATGATAATATAAACTTATTAAAACTAAATATGAAATATAATACAGTTAAATTAATCCAAAGACACATGGTGCCTCAAACAGATAAAATGACTAACATAACACAAACAGAAAAAAATCCCACACACTTGAGCAAGTGTAGTAACTAACTATTTGACCTACATTGCTAAATAATTAGAACATTACAGTCAGTGATATTGAAAGGATCCAACTGGCAGATCTCTATCAAACGACTCACTACTAAACACTTCTTAAATGAGCTATTTAGGTCAATTGCTCTAGTAACTAAGTTAAGTTGCCCTATCCTATGCTTGGCATTGTCTTCAGTCACATTTAAACACAATATCAACATTTCAAAGACAACTGATCCATGGCTCACACAAAGTACAGACCCCAGACATAGGCCCTGGGGTATAAAGTACTTGACCTGAATTTTAAATACTACAATACAAGAGCAAATAATTACCAGCATTTTGTTGGTCACGTCATGTTTTTAATCTTAATAGTAAACATTACTAAATACCAAGAAAATTAAATAGGTCACAATATCTATTTCTATATCTAGCTAGGCCTATTTATAGCTTTTTTAATCAATTTAGTTTATTATGTTTCATTGTGCTACAGATCTATGTATTATAACATAATATTCTTTTTAATCTTTGAGTACACATTTACAAACAATAACAAAATATTTATGTTTAGATAGTTGTTGTTTTCTAACATACTGATTGATAAATGGACCAATCAATCAATTGTGATCGATTGATTAGATGAATACTTGACTGATTTATCAACACGATCCTATTGAAATTCACAAAATCACCAATGTGAACGAATACACTCCTACAAACTAAAGAATTAAAAAAGTATGTATATTGAAATTATTATCAGCAATTAAGAAAATGCTTACTACCGGTAGTTACAAAGAGGAAGTGAATGTATACCCAGCTCCCCAGAAGGCAACAGATTTGAATCATCAAAACTAATGCTCATTCACTAACATACTTCTAATTCAACAAGTATTACTTCAACCACATTCCAATTAAAACTTAACTCCTTTCCTAGAATCTACCGGTCATGTGTCCACCGACACCCTGAACTTTCGGTTCTCATGGGGACTTAATTCCCCCAAAATGGGTAGCCAGGATATAAGGGACTTAGGCAAGTGGGAAGTAAGTCCTAGTACCAGAAAAGTGGGCGGTGGTTAAACGTTTTTTTCTGCTGACAGCAATCACGCTTCAGGCTCTATGAAAGAGTCAAGATGAGTTCAGGACACACACCGGTCATGTGAGAGTACAGTATGACCCCCATCATTAGCAGCAGATGAAAGTTACAAAGCTAATTTCACTAATATGAAAAGGTGTACGAAAAACACAAAATATTAAATAACTATTATTTATACTATACTGTACTAGTAAATAACTCTAAAGAACAAATGAAAATTCATATTTTAAAATATAATTTCAGATTTATTTATTTTTAGAACACGATCAAAGTAGGTAATTGTAAATAGAAAAAACAATAATAATACAATTTCCTTAATGTATTTTAAACACCTGATATAGTATGTAAACACAAGGATGTATTCTTTTTAAAAAATGAGGAAATTCTAAGTCACAAAATCTGATTTAATGAAGAATACTGTTAAATTTAACAATTTCCCTCTTTAAAATAAATCCTTTGACCGCAAAATTCAATTTAGCATAACATAACTTTTATTTGTGCTAATGTACCAAGATCACATAGTTCAATGACCTCGAAATCAATGACAAAAAAAAATTGAGAAAAACACTCCGTTGGGAAGCGTCCCTAAAATATTTTCAAATAAAAACAGCTAAATTAAAGAGTCTGATATCCTCTTAGCGATTAAATCATTTGATGACGGGAATAAGTAGAGATTATTGAATCTAAGTGCTGCTAACGTCGTCGTGAGGGTGCATTGGATTGAGTCTACGCTGAATCAGTAGCACGGTGAACCACTTGGCAGACAACCAATCTGAACTAGATTTCGCATGCAATTGGCCTATTTACTCAAGGTACATCAACGTTCTGTTCAGCTTCTGTGCATCCAAACGCCGGCAAAATGTAAACGTATTTTGACATGTTACACAAATTGTAATCACATTACCCCATTTTTTATCAATTTATTATGTTGCTACATGTATTTGTCACTAATCAGTATTTGATCAGGGACAATAATCTCTAATATCTATCGACAGTACTAGATCTTTATTATCTGATTTAAATGTAATCAGAGCTTTATAAGTGTGTACTCAACGACATATCGTGGGGCAATTACTATAACTGGGGGTAAGTGATTACATGTTGAAATATCCATACCCTTCAAAGCTCAGCAGATACAGAGAGGTTATTTCACCTTCCGACGAAATCGGCAGGTAACATTGTTTTTTTAAATCGGAGGAAATGAACGCAAGGTGGGTCATGTCATGTGAATGTAGACAATCACAACATGAAAGTTAATCGACAACATTTTCACCGATGCAATTATGCCTTTCGGCACATTGATAATAATCTACTTTAAGGTTTCCCCATAGTCATAATAAAAAGATTGAAATTCTCCGAAAATTGATGGAATTTTAAAGATTATTTTCATTAAGTACAAAAATAAATCAAAATAGATGTTTTGTTGCCATTCTGTAAGATAACATGTAATACAGTAGTTTAACTGATTTTTTTTTTATTTAACATTTATAAGATAAAGTTTAGCATATACTAAATAAATGATAACTATTTATTACTATTGTTAATTATCCGTCTTATTATGTAAATTAACTGTCTTTATCTTAACCCCAAAAATACCACCAGATTCCCCTCTCTTCCCACCCTGGAAAAAACAACATCTAGTTCAGTTCAGTTAAAAGGGTTGAATACCCCTCTCTCAGACTTGAATACAACAAAAAATCTGTTGACAGCATGGAAGAAATCTTTTTCACTTAAATACACAAGATGTCAGAACGTCAATCAATTATTAATGGCAAGGAGACAGAAATGGCTATCAATGGTATTGTGTATTATTCACAGCCCTGTCCTACTTATAAACACTTTTTCACGAGTTTTTCTGACATCACTCAACTTTGTGCAGTGAATTTCACACATCATTAATCAATTTCATATGA